CTAGCTTCAAGTCAAATGGTCAGCTACGCTCACAAGTCAACTATCTTATTCCGCTGTGCCACTGACGAGATCTTCTCAAAGACAATAATTTTCCGCTGTGCAATGTAAACTTTGAGGAGACAAAGGTCAAGTATTCAAGTTCTGAAGATGAATCCTGTGTGCGCCTGTATATCAACCGAACACTCGTTCCATAGGCGCCATCGGAATTCATTAATGCTGATCAAGAGCAACTTCTGAAAGGTAAAGATCACAAGCTACATCCTGAAGATTCTTCAACTCCCCGGCATCAAAGAACAAATTGCCATGAAGACATCAAAGGGGAGATTGTAAGGATTTCTTCAAAAAGCCTTTTCAAGAAGCCGAGCGCAAAGACAAAGGAAGCTGAGCTGCATTGAGGAGCAACTGAACACAAAGACAAAGACATCCGCGCTGCAATGCTGATCAAACAAGATTGAACACCAAGGGGGAGATTGTTAGGACTTTTTTTGGTGTCCAATCTAGTTAGATGTCTTTGTATCTGTGTAGTTGTCAGTTAAATGTGTAATATGGGCCACAATTGAATATTAGCCCATTAGCCTCTCTTGTAAGCCATAAGTTAGACATCCTCTCCTATAAAAGGAGGCTAACTTATGAGAAAACCTAACCAAGGCATTAGACTATAGAGGCAGAATAGAGAGAATAGTTTCAGGCTGCTCTCTCTCTCTAGAGGGAGAGCAGCGGCCATTACACGATGTACCAAATTTCTGTTCAATCTATCTACTTGTTCTTCATTCTTATGATTGTTTGATTGTTAGAAATAGGGATCAACAGGCCCGGACCGGCCGGGCCGGTTCACCTTTTGAGGGGCCCGGACCGGAACCCCAGCGGGTCGGGCCTACCCGGACCGGTCCCTGTCCGGGCAGGCGGTTCGGTCCGGTTCAAACAGTAACCGGTTCGGGCCGGTTCCGGGGCAGGCCGCCCGGCCCGAGTCCAAGCCTACTTCAAATTAAAGACTTAAATGGGCAGCAAAAACTCCACTCCTAAGACTTTTGTTGTGGATGGACTGGCTAAACATTGATATCAGTATGAAGCGGAAAACTTGCCCAAACACCTACTCCCGTGTCAGGTTACACAAGAAAAATGCAAATCGTCCTACAAACCTGCTAATAATGCAAAAAAACAACTAAACGAATCAGCTGAAAAGCTACCCAAAAAAAGCTACTCCCTCCCCTTTTAAATGTCCTGTTTTACCATATTGGGATGTCTCTATTTAATTGCATCATACCTTATTTGGTAAAGTTTGTGTGGTTCAAAATCATTCTTACTTTACTCTTACTTTATCAATTAATATCAACCACACAAACCCACTTTTCTTAAAACTCGTGTCACCCTCTTCCGGGACATTTAAAAGGGGACGGGGAGAGTACTAAACAACTTGCGCAAACAGTAAACTATCCCTAGCAAATACTTGTAGTTGAATATGCCTAACAGATTAATGACATCCTAATTAACAACCCCAAAATTGCAGCATAAAAATGACACCAAGACAAATCGGCCAATTGCCAATAAAACATAGCTCCCTAAGAATCATCAAAATTGTTTCCACCCCTTAATTCTCAGTTTCGCAGTATGAGTGCATGAGTGCATTAGTATCTTTATTAAATAGGGAATGCCAAGTAAAATAAATGTAGGGTGTGTTTCGAAAAACAAAGAAAATTAATTAATAAAAATTAATTAAATAAAATGACGTAAAGAAAACAAGAAATGAGATGAAGCAGAATAAGCCAAAGCTCGTGCAACGCACGATTTCCTTAAAACGTATTCGTTGCCTCCCGGGGTGCTAGGAGCGTTGCAAGAATCGTTTCCCAGGATACGATGACTACGAACAAGCGTTTGAGCACTCAAACGAAAGTTCCAACGAACGTGAACAAAGCAAGAACACAATAGGAATTTTAAGAGAAGGCTGGGAGAGTTTTGTGAGCTAAAATGAAGTGCAGCACGTTTGTGACTTGTCTTTTTTGCAAACCAGCAGCCAGCCTTATATAGGGGAGGATCTTGGGTGTGTTAATGGCCTGTTTAAGGCATATGGACGTTGGGACATCAATGCAGTCCAGAAAAACGCCCACATGAACGTTGGGCATGCATTAAGGTCTTCTGAACGTTGGCAGTTAATGGAGCAAAAAAATACGTTTTTTGTTCTTCGGTTTCGGGATTTGATTCGCACCCCCCCTGCGTGCGTGAGAGAGCCTTTCCCTTTAGGAAGCTTAACTCCTTAGGGGGGGTTTCCCTTTATAAAGGGTTCAAATTCCCCTGTGATTTTCGGTGTGGGAAAAACCCTTACCAAAACATCACCTTTTCCTAGTTTTCTCCATTCTAACGGATAAACTTCGAAAAGCGATTTCTCATTCACCCGTTATCCGTTTTGAGCGTACCATATATCGAATTGTAGCCCTAAGCAAGGACAATCCGAAACCACTTTGACCCGACCCAAATCGGAAGTGGACCCCGCTCAAAAAATTGCCCCAAAATGACCATTTAATGCAATTTAACACACTTTTTCCAACAATAAATTCAAACACACACTTGAACAAAGTCCGATCCATGTAATACATGCAATGACGTTATCAGGTGAGTAACAATATTGACCCAAATTGCATGTTGTGAGAGTTATAAAAAGTTCCAAAATAATTTAGTAAAACTACATATGAAACTTGGTGTTGAAAAACAATATGTACATGAGAATACAGATATGCATCCATACACATATTTAAACATCAAATACACATATTTCTCTTATTATTATTATTATTATTATTAATGTCAATCAAAGTGTGTGTTTATTATTCTCATACACAAAATGCCAGAATATATAAATTTATACTTATTAATTATGGAAAGTATTTATAAAGTAATTTAGGTATTAAATTTTTTGAATTCATAAGCACCTATATTATCCATTATTAGGCATGGACTCGGGCCAGGTGGCCCGACCCGGAAGCGGCCCGAACTGGCACTGTTCGGAACCGGCCCGAACCGGTGGCCCGGCCAGGGACCAGTCCGGGTAGGCCTGGCCCGGTGGTTTAACGGTCCGGGCTCGGTTCACTCAAAGACGAACCGGCCCGGCCGGTCGGGCCCGATTCCGGGCCTTTTTTGTTTTTTGAATTTTTTTATTCTTCTGGGTTGGGCTGGGTGTTTTGGGCCATTTGGGGTGGTTTTGGGGGGTAGGGGTGAGGGGGAGTCGGGGATTAATTAGAAAAGTAAAAAAAATAGGAAGTGGCCCGAGGCCCGGCCCGGACCCGGCCACCCGGGCTGGTTCCGGTTCACCCATTGTCAAATAAAAGTCCGGTCGGGCCCAGGCCCGAGCCGGAACCGGCCCGGGTCCACCCATATCCATTATAGATCCTGTAGTGGGTAATTAAGTATAAAAAAGGGAAAGAGACCAACAAAATTGCTAGTGAGTCACAAAAAATAGGCGCAAAAGGGGAATGCACGTCAAAGTTTAATTATAGGCATGCTCCACCTACTTCACTCAATGTCTTCTTGAACTTTATAAAGCAAAGTATGTGCCTAAACTTATTTTACTCGATTTCCCTTTGCTGGAATGGTGAAGGTCTTCTTCCAGGATATGCTGCTCAGCTCTTAAACGGTAGAACCTTCAATGTTTTTTATGTTACCATGGATTCAGCCCATGGCCCATTTACGTAGTCCAGCCCATAAACGGGATCAGCCTAATTACAGGATTAGCCCATAAACGGGATCAGCCTAATTACAGGATTAGCCCATAAACGGGATCAGCCTAATTACAGGATTAGCCCATAAACGGGATCAGCCCATAAACGGGATAAATAAGTAGTTGGCTGCGTAACTCATGAGGAATCAGGCCTATAACAGGGACCCGTAGCCAGGCCGGGCTGGAAGACAAGCCTCGAGCCTGGGCGGAGTTTTAGTAAGGCCAGGATATCCCCGAGGACCACGTGGCAGGCTACCATTCATTGATAAATATTTGGCAACAGGCAGAATTTGACCGGATTACTACGACCGAAAGAAGGAAACAATGGGGTGAGAATCGAAGACCGAGGAGTTCTAACTCGAGCAAGAACATAGTTCATTAATTAGCATTAATTGTAGTAAATTCCTTCCATAATTCTACCGCTCAAATCTCTATAAATATTGGATGTAAACACCCTACCAAGGGGACGGATTCCTGGAGAACGAATTGATTCTCATAGTCCGGAATAATAATACACAAACTGCCTTACGCTGCCAGATTATTGGATATTTTACGTATATTTAACTCTCGTAGTTGGATTTAACTCCATTAGTTTTTTAAAAAAGTTTCATTTAATTAAATGATGCCATTTCTTTCAAGTATAAAAGGGAAATAAGTAAGATGAAACGATACCAGCTTAAAAGTAAGAACATCAGTAGTACATGCATGTCTAGATAAATTGATAGGGTTCGTTTATTTATTTGTTTATTTTTACATTCATTTATTCACTCACAAAATGCATATATAAAGAGTTTATTCCTACATTTTAAATTAATCATTTTTTGTGACTTGCCATTACTATACCCGGAGTTTGAATTTAGACATTGTTGTTTAAGCACATAACAAATCCCAAAGGTGAGAAAATCAAAACTATGCATGATAGATATATCCAATCAAAACATTCAAATGGCGCATCCATTATATTGATTTTACTAGACACATTCATCACATAATATCAAATAAAAAATCATTAGACGCTAGAGTAAATGGAAAACAACACTTCGTAGCCCTTGAAAGTATTGGACTATATTCGTAATCATCAAGTATTAATGTGTTCTCATGTGTGTATCAGTGTATGTAAACATACCAGCTAATACTTGTTAGTGTTTATGGCAGATACATTATATTCGTGCTTATAGATATGGAACTTAAGGCCAGCAGATTACTGGTGCACTGATGAATGAAGACTGCTCTGTTAAGGATTCAGAGGTGTGGTGTGAGAAATAATACCAGGCTTAACCATAACGTTAGCCCTGGCAGATATATATATAGGAAATAAGAGTAATAATTACAAAAGGAGTCCCAGACTAATGCTAATTAAATAAATAACTAATCTACTCTATTACACCCCCCTCAAGCTGTGCAGGGGAAACAATGCGCAGATTGTCACGAAGAAGAGTAAACCGTTGTGGGGACAAACACTTTGTAAAAATATCTGCCAGCTGAGCCTGTGTAGGAACATACTTGACACGAAGATCTCCATGGGCCACCCGCTCACGAACAAAATGATAGTCAATATTAATGTGCTTACTTCTGGCATGATGAATAGGATTAACAGCAAGATATGAGGCTGAAACATTGTCACAAAACAAGGTGGTAGGCATTCGAATAGGAAACCCAAGCTCAAACAAGACAGAGCGAATGTGTATAGTATCCTGAACTGTAAAGGCCACGGCGCGATATTCAGCCTCTGTAGACGAGCGGGAGACCGTGGGCTGCTTCTTGGACCGCCAGGAGATGAGATTTGGTCCCAGAAAAATGGCATAACCAGAAGTGGACCGACCAGTATCAGGACACCCAGCCCAATCAGCATCTGAATAAGCAATGAGAGTTTGAGATCCGTGAGCAGACTGAAGAAGTAAGCCATGATCGATGGTGCCCTGTAAGTACCTGAAAATACGCTTAACAGCCGACATATGTGAAGTACGGGGGGCATGCATAAATTGGGAAACCAAGTGTACAGCAAAAGTAATATCTGGTCTAGTCAAAGTCAAATACTGTAATGCACCTACCATACTTCTGTACTCCGTGGCATCAGCAAGAAGCTCTCCATCAGTGAGGGAAAGTTTGGTGCGACTAGGAAGCGGTGAGCGAATAGGTTTTAAAGTATGAAGATGAAAGCGATGAAGAAGATCAGATACATATTTATGCTGAGAAAGAAATAACCCAGAGGAGATACGAGTGGCGTGAATCCCCAAGAAAAAATGTAAATCACCCAAGTCCTTCATAGCAAAGCACTTAGCCAAAAGAGACAAAAAATGACTCACTAATGGAATGGAATTACCTGTAACAATGATATCATCAACATATAGTAACAGGTAGATAACATCAGAATGGCGGCGAAAAATAAATAAGGAATTATCAGACCGGCTGCAGACAAAACCATGAGACAAAAGAAAACTGCTAAAACGATGAAACCATGCACGGGGGGCCTGTTTGAGACCATAAATGGCTTTACGCAGCCGACACAAGTGAGTGGGAAACTGAGGATGAACAAAACCCTGAGGTTGACGCATATATACTTCCTCAGTAAGATGACCATGCAAGAAGGCATTTTTGACATCAAGTTGACGAACAGGCCAACCAAAAGACACAGCTAAAGAAAGAACAAGACGAACAGTAGTAGGTTTGACAACAGGACTAAAAGTTTCAGTAAAATCAATACCTGCCTGCTGCTTAAACCCCTGAGCAACCAACCTTGCTTTGTAGCGATCCACAGAACCATCAGATAAGTATTTAGTCTTATAAATCCATTTTGACCCAACCACATTCTTTCTAGCATCAAACGGTACAAGATCCCATGTATGATTAGAGATAAGAGCATTAAATTCCTCAGCCATAGCGGCTCTCCACTTAAGCTGTTTATTTGCCTCTGAAAAACAAGTAGGATCATGTGTGCTAACAACTGTATTTAAATTGAAAATAGTTTTGGGTTTAAAAATCCCGGATTTGGATCGGGTTTGCATGGGATGAACATTAGCAATCGGGGCGGAGGTGGGAGGCGAGGAAACGGGGCATGTGACTGGTGAAGGTGGCTCGGTAGTGGAGGGGGACGGACTGCCTGCAGTTTCGGCTGAAATGCTGGGCTGAGGTGTAAGTGGGAGGCTGGTTGGTGGGTCATCGGTATAGGTAGTGGAGCAGTGAGGTGTAATTGGGGGGCTGGTTGGTGTGGTAGCACTGGCCGAAGAGGGTCTGCTAGTGGGTGATGAAATAAGGAGAGGAGAAAGTGCGGGGGAGAGTGGTACCTGGTGGTCTCGAGTATGGGAGAGAATAAGGGGGGAAGATGAATTAGACACTATAGACGTAGACACTGTGGTTCGCATTAAATCAGAGTATGGAAAAATATTTTCTAGAAATTTAACATTCCTACTGATATACACCCTGCCAGAAATAGGATCATAACAACGGTACCCTTTATACTCAGACGCATAGCCTAAAAAAACACATGTGATAGATCGTGGCAAAAGTTTATTAGCGGATGAAGCATTAAAATTAGGAAAACATGCACAACCAAAGACGCGCATCATAGAAAAATCCGGTTTGGAGTGAAATAATTTTTCATACGGAGAGAGACCATGTAGAGTAGGAGAGGGTAAACGATTTATAATAAAAGTGGCTGTAAGCACGGCATCCACCCAAAAAGTAGCTGGTAACTTAGCAGTAATAAGCATAGTGCGTGCAAGTTCAAGTAAATGCCGATGCTTACGCTCAGCCACACCATTTTGCTGTGGAGTTTCAGGACAAGATTTTTGAAAAACTATACCATGAGTAGTAAAAATATTACGTAAAGAGAAATTGTCAAATTCACCCCCTCCATCACTCTGAAAAATCTTAATCTTGCGGTCAAGTAAATTTTCAATCATTAATTTAAAATGATGAAAATGAGTAAGAACCTCAGACTTGCACCGCATGGGGTAAACCCAAGTGAAACGTGAAAAATCATCCACAAAACAAACATAATATTTATAACCAAGATGAGAATGCACGGGAGATTGCCAAACATCAGAATGAATTAAATACAAGGCACATGGACTATTATGAAAAACTTTATTAAATGGTAACCGTTGAGATTTCCCCAAACGACAGGGAATACAATCAGAAACAGAAGTAGCAGTTCCAGAAATACAATTATTAATGCGAAGCTGATCTAAAACACGAGTACCACAATGTCCTAATCTATTATGCCATAAAGATAACGAAACTGCGGATAAAGCAATGGGTGAAGGTGTAGGTCGGCGAACAGGGTAGACACCATTATCACTATGCGCCCGAAGAAGAACCGCTCCCGTTGTTAGGTCCTTGACAGAAAAATAATTTTTGTCAAAAATAACAGCACAGTTGTTGTCAGCACACAATTTGTGAATGGACAAAAGATTATATTTAATGTTAGGCACATGAAAAACAGAGTTTAAGTGAAGAGGACGGCTGGAGGAAGATAAAAGGGCCTGACCAGTATGCATAACAGGGAGGGATGTACCATTTGCAACAATGATAGAATGAGAATTAGGTGAAAAGGATTTATTAGATAAAATACCTTGATGTGGTGTCATATGTGCTGAGGCACCGGAGTCAGGATACCAAACAAAATCGGATGCATCAGGAGCGTGAGCCGCAAGAGCAGGTGCAGCCGGCTGAGTAAAACGAGAAGGACAGGTAGACGCAGGGTGACCTGGAGCATAACAAATCTGACAAACAACGGGGGGAGGGACTGAATTCCCTTCACCAGAAGAAGAGCCTGCATAACTACGATTAGCACAAGAAGCAGATAAAGCAAAAGTATAAAAATTTGACTGAACAGACATACCCGCTGAGCCTGGAGCCCCAAGAATGCCAGCATGTGGTGCACCTCCTGGAAAATAGCCGGGGGGAAGATAGCCATAGCCGAAACCATAGCCAGCCTGATGTGGGCCATAGCCACGACCCCTCTGCCCCCGACCGCCGCGGCCACCTCGGCCACGCTGCCCGCGGCCGCCTCGGCCGCGTTGTCCTCTGCCGCCAGTTTGCTGTTGCTGCTGGCCGCCATTATGCTGCTGCTGCTGCTGTCCGCCAGGGGGAAGTGGTCCTGCAGGCTGAACTTGGCCCACAAAGGCCTGAGCTTGAGTGGAGTCTTCCATGGCACGCATATATTGAATGGTCTGCTCCTTCTCAATGAGGTGTGTGCGCAATTTCTCAAACGTAAAACTTTCAGGAAACAATTCTACCGAAGTAATAAGAGACTCATAGTCTCTCCCCAAACCAAGCAAAATAGTCTGAAAGAGTTCCTTGGTAGAGACCGGAGAATTAATGCAGGCCAAATTATCAGCAATATCTTTAATAGCCCTAAGATAGTGATCCATGGACTGAGTGGGACTCTTCCGAGAATGAGTTAGCTGCCGTTTCAGTTCCATGGACCGAGCAAGACTAGCAGACATAAAATGTGACTCCAAACGACCCCAAATAGCGGAAGCATTTTTTAATTCTCGAACCTCAATTAACACATCACGTGACAGAGTAGCAAACAACCAAGACCGGACAGTTTGATCAAGTTTTAACCAATTACAATAATCTGGATTAAGAACCTCACGCTGACATGCATCAAAAAGATAGGGGGAAGGAGCAGGAATCGAGCCATTTAAAATACCCAAAAAACCATTGGAGACCAAAAACGACTCAAATTGAGTACGCCAAGACAAGTAATCTTCCACGGCATTCAATTTAGTGGTAACTATATTTGTAATATTAAGTGCAGAAAATCCAATGGTTTTAACTAAATCAGCCAACGAAGAACCTGGACCGGGCAGAATATTCGAACGAGGAGCGATAGATCCTGGGGTAAGGAGTGGCGCAATCCCTGGATCACCTGCAAGTGTCGGACCAGCAAAAACAGAGGATTCTGCGACGTGGGGAATGCTGCGACTGCCAGAGAGGAGAACTGAGGACGCCGGACGCACAGTAGGTGGAGTAGGGGTCCAGGTAAATATTGGCGGAGTCCAGACCGCATCTTGAGAGGAGAAAAACGAAGACTGCATCTGTGGGTTTTCGACCGAGGAGAGCATCGTGGACGGAAGATGAAGCTGCGCGGCAGAGAGACCAATGTCTGCTGTGATTCCCGGCGCTGCAGAGAAATTCGACGCCTGCACCTGTTGAGTAGCGACCGAAGAGATCGGCGGCATAGAGGACTCAAGGGCGGCGGAGCTTTGCTCGCTGGACATGTCGGCCGAAAAAAAATTAGGGATTTAGATGGCTGTGGCTCTTGATACCATGTGAGAAATAATACCAGGCTTAACCATAACGTTAGCCCTGGCAGATATATATATAGGAAATAAGAGTAATAATTACAAAAGGAGTCCCAGACTAATGCTAATTAAATAAATAACTAATCTACTCTATTATGTGGTTCCTTTATATGGTGATCGACCTTTCGCATTGTACTTTCTTCATACCTTATGAGTCTTTGTTGTACTAGCAAGTTTCGTACTACATAGCCAGGTTGCTGAAATTGTTGACAGGTCCCCCCCTCTAAAAGCTAACAACTTTATGCCCCGTTTGTTTAATGGTCATGCTTCTCTTCTATGTTTGAGTTGTTTGGTTGTACTATGCAAATGGTTTGGTTAGCTCTCTTTACGACTTTGTTTCCATATTAAGATTACATTGTTCTCATTGGGACATGAGGATGTGACACGGTTAATAAGAAAAGCGAGTTTATGTGATTGATATTGAATTGATAAAGTAAGAATGATTTAGAGCCACACAAACTTTACCAAATTTGGTATAAGACAATCTCAGTGGGACTCTCTGAAAAGGAAAAATGGGACAATCTTAGCGGGACAGAGGGAGTAATAATAAAGGATTCATGCAATTGAGGATGCTAAAAATGTTACTGGTCAATCTTTTCTAAACATCCAATAAGCAAAAACATTAATTGATAGTATAATTTTAAAAATCAAAATTTTCTCATTATAATCACTAATTGCTAACTATTAATTTACACATTATTGTTTAGAGAAAATGAGTATGAAATCATTAAATATGGAAACACGAGCTACAACTTGTTATTTTATATTATTATAGAAGACTATTGTTATTAATAATATAACTAGCTATTACTGTACTGCAAGACAATAACAATGATGTTTTTAATTAGACTAAAGTTTTATGATCGGGTCCGCTTAAGTTTGGTCTGATGACCTAAACTGGTCTGGTCTGGTAAGTGTTGGATGTATGTATATTTTACTAACTTATTCTGATATGATCAAGTCCATTGTATTTAAATTTGATCTGATTTGGGGTAATTTCTTTTAATCTTGTGTGGTCTAGCTTATAATTGAAAACATTTAAATCAAAACATTCTAAACATTCTGATTTTTTTCTTTGCGTTAAAGGAAGTCCCGCCAATTATGTATCACTATTATTATATTATAATAAAAATAATTATTATTATCTATGATCATCATCATTATAGATTATTTTGAATTGAAAATATTCCAATTACTCCAATATTCACTATTATTATATTATAATAAAAATAATTATTATTATTATCTATGATCATCATCATTATAGATTATTTTGAATTGAAAATATTCCAATTACTCCAATATTCATGTAACTCTTATTTTTAATGGGTATGAAGCATGAAATGTCTAATTGGAGGGAAAAGCAAGGTGTCACACCTTGTTACTTTATATTATTATAGATTATAGATTATAGATTTTTTAATGAGTATGAAGCATTAAATGTCTAATTGGAGGGAAAAACAAGGTGTCACACCTTGTTACTTTATATTATTATAGAATTTTTAATGTGTATGTCACGCCCCGGACCGCATCCGAGCGCGTGTACAACCGCCGTATGACTAAATGACGTCACTCGCAAGTCAACGTGA